GAAAAACAAAATTAGATAAGCACAAACTATAATGATAAAAATTATAGCATTTGGAAAGTCACTACTGTGTTTGACATGCTTGCCACCACAATAAATAAGCCTGTTTTAAAAAAGTGACAAAGCAGGAAGGAGAAACACGATTTCCAGTTATCTCATTTGACCTGAATCCACTGGGTTTACCAGATTACTGTGTATTTATTATACAAAAGCTTTATCTAACAATGCAGATTTTAAATAGTTGTCTTTTCTAAGTTTGCTCAGCTAAACTTCCAACAATCACTATGCATGTAGATAAAGAACAAGCAACATATTTACGTAATATAGCTGTTACATTGCAAGGACTTGATTTATTTTAATTATGTTAGGAATATCCAAATATTAAGTTTCCTTTCATATACTGTTGTTAAAATAGCGTAAAATTCTAATTACATTGTTAAGACTAGTATCAAGACCAGAGAAATGACAGCCATTTCCAACCTAAAATATAATCTTAAAAAACAGTGCTGCGTACACTTTTAAATACATAGCATATTTTATAAGACTAGGAAAAAAATTAAATAAGCCCATTAGATGACTGAGAAGATAGCCAGTATTTGTTTCAGAGTACGTGGAATACTTTCATCCATAAAAAATAACATTTAGCACAGAATCACTTAATTGGACTCAATCTTTGCAGCCCTGATATAGTTTGCATATTACTGCTTTTGTACGAGTTAATTATTTTAGCAACAAAGTACCAAAAATTCTCTTTTCACCCTCCCTCTCCCCAAAGACGACAAACAAGACATAAAAGCTGATGTTAATTGTTACAGAAATCAATCAATCTCAAAACAATTGCACCAACTCTGAAGGTGACTTGCAAAATCCATCAACTTAAGCAGTATGTATTGAATGCTCCCTGCAAGAACTTGGTAATGTAAGACATTTCAGTACACTGCTGTTTACAGGAAGAAAAAAAATAAAAATTTTTCCCTACCCAGTGTCATCAAGCCTTATTTATTAAATTGCCAATTCCTTTTAATGTGATGGCACAACACGTACCAGATTACAAATGCTGCTGGATTATGGAGCCTCTAGTGAATGGGGGAGAAGGGAGGATAAATTGCCAATTTTATGACCATTTACAGATTAAAAAAAAAAAAAAAAAAAAATTTTACGTGCCTTATGTTTTTTTGAGATAGTATATTCAAGACAGCATTATGAATAAACAACCACTTACCTGACCCTCCATTCAGTGTACACCAGCTTCTCCAGCGTGGTTCAGTGGTCAATACATCACCACAAACACAGTATATGTTAGGATGTCATGATGGAGCTGAAGCCAGTGACCCTGAAGGGTCTAGGTGTCGCAGGACCTATAGCAACGTACTGTACAGTCTCACAGCCTAGTAACTAAGAACATGCAGGACATACTGCTAAAGATGATGGCATTTTTGGTAATTTATTTTAGTACGTTAAGGTAGATTCTCAACATATTTCCCACGACACAAAATAAATACTATATTAAAAAACCAAACAAAATGCCAGCTCATTAAGGTTGCTAAATCAAGAAATAAAAATCAGGAATTGCCAAAATTAAAGTTGCCTTGGTAACCTTAATTTCATTGCTTTTTGTGTATATACTCTATGCTCATGAAACAATAAACCGAGGCTAATGAAGCACCACCCATTCTACACACTGAATTTTGGAAGGATCATGTGGGGGAAAAGAAATTCGTATACAGTCCAGTCAGACAATTGAAGACATTGCAAGCATACCCACCCACACAGATGATGAATGTTTCACTTTGCAACCTTTACTGCGAGTTTTCTTGAATTTTTTGTGTTTTTTTTAAAATGCATTTAACATGGCTTAGGCTTTATTTTTTGAAACAAAATACCTAAGAAGTTAAAACATAAATTCCAGATTTCACAATGGGGAATTATATTTGGGCCAACCGGCATTGCTGAAACCCCTAGATACACCAGAAACCTCTGATACTTGAACTAACTGCCATTTGAATAACGACAGCAATAGCAAATAGAACCGACAGTGTACCCTGTTATTTTAATGCTGGTTCACATGTCTGAGACTCTAAATCCTTTCTGTCCACTTGAGGCCACCCTGTTGCCCAAGTTATTTTCTTTCTCTAGACTCCTCACTATTTTATTCTCTGCCCACTGTGCCCTATCCCAGTAGCAGTTTTCCTAATGTGCCAAATTCTGCTCAAGTTCATCTCATCATGTCCTCTAGCAACTTCTCACAGGTTTTCCAGCCTGTGCTAGTTTGGGCTGGGATAGAGATAATTTTCTTCATCGTAGCTAGTATGAGGCTGTGTTTTGGATTTGTGCTGGAAACAGCGTTGATAATACAGAGATGTTTTTGTTACTTCTGAGCAGTGCTTACACAGAGTCAAGGCCTTTTCTGCTTCTCACCCCACCCCACCAGCGAGCAGACTGGGGGGGTACAAGCTGTTGGGAGGGGACACAGCTGGGACAGCTGACCCCAATTGACCCAAGGGATATTCCAGGCCATATGACATCATGCCCAACAGTAAAAGCTGCGGGAAGAAGAAAGGGGGGCACATTCGGAGTTACAGCGTTTGTCTTCCCAAGTAACCGTTATGGGTGATGGAGCCCTCCTTTCCTAGAGATGGCTGAACACCTGCCTGCTGATGGGAAGTAGTGAATGAATTCCTTGTTTTGTTTTGCTTGCACGCACGGCTTTTGCTTTACCTATTAAACTCTCTTTATCTCAATCCATGAGTTTTCTCACTTTTAGTCTTCCGACTGTCTTCCCCATCCCACCAGAGGGGAGCAAGCAAGCAGCTGTGTGGGGCTTAGTCACCAGCTGGGGTAAACCATGACACAGCCCCACTGGTCTTTAGTATTCAACTTTTTTTATATGGTCTCTATGAAAGAATAAAAAAACCCCTTTCAGCCAGGTATCAAAGAAAACTGGCAAGTTTTCTTAGTTCCTGTCCTTGCCTCCCTAAAATGGTCTGTCACAATTAGCTTCCTGCAGTAAGGTATCTTCACTGTTCACTGCACTTTTCAGAGGCTGTGAAGAGGCGAAATCTTGACAGACTTCTGCATCAGGAGTGTGCCTTTCATCTATTCTAACAGAAGACACCATCTGAAAACCGCTTAGATCTTTCCTACAAGCCATGGACTATTAGGGCTTTTCAAATAAAAGGTATCCACAGTCTTACTGGTTCCACTTGAAAACATTATCAACAGAAATTTTTCCCCCATATGCATTCTAGAAAATTGGTTGAATCATTTTGGTTGATCTGTTTTTAAAGGAAAACTATCACGTGGAAGCAAAGGCCAACATGAGAAATTTCAGCCAACATGGTTTAAACAAACAAACAAACAAACAAAAAAGCAAGACAGGAAAGCAAGTGAAAACAGTATCTTTTAAACGAACAACAACATTGGTAACAAAGCAGAGCATCTACAGTAGTAAAAAAAAAAGCAGTGCAGTTTTATAACACTAAATATGAAGTAAGCAGTTAAAATACAGAAGACGTGTGAGATGCAGGCGTATGTCATTAATTCACTTAATTTCTGTTTTCAGAGGAAGGGGCCCTTTAATCTTAGGGAAAGTATAGATCAGCATGAAGAGGAAATGCTGTTAGAGATGTATAGTCTCTACCACTATTAAAAGATAAATCACAAAATCAAATTTGATGGTGTAAGAATGCACAGCTCCCCCTCCCTTTTGTTCACCCTGCATGAGACAAAGCTGGATAGTCCTTTGAAAGTCGCTTTAAAAATTAAGTGTTGGAAGTTAGCCATCAGTACTGCTCATTTGATGAAACTAAAGTAAATCTATAAATTTCCCCATCAGATTCACCCTGCTTCAGTTAAGGAGATTAACCAAAGGCAGCAGTCAGAAATCAGAGATGCAGGGACAAGCCTCTCCACATAGCTCTGTTCTAGCCACAAGTCTAGGACTTTGTAGGTCAAGGTCTGAGGAATTGGAACTGCTAATAGTATGAACTGCAACATGCATTTTTGACATCATTCAATGTCCAAAAAGGAATCTGAAAGAGACCAAACTCTTGGTCAAAAAAAATCTAAACTGTAGATTGAACCTGGCTGGCCATCATTCAGAGTATTACAATTCTGGTGTTATTCCAGTCTTATTGACACAAAGCCAAAGTCAGAAAAGCTTCGGACATGAAGCATCCTTCAGCCTTGATGTTTTAAGCAGTACAGTATCCCACACCCCTAGCCCCCCAAGTGAAGGGATGTTTGATAACAAAAACCAATAAAACTGTGAGGTTGTACAGAGTCTTCCTTGCATGAAGCAAGAATCTCTACCTATCACATATGGAAATAAAGCTCTCGCTGAGTAAGACAGAGCAAGATTGATGAAGGAAGATAAACCTACTGCTACTAACTGAATAAAGAATAATTTCCTTTTAAACTAACAGACAACTGGTTACCCAACCAAGCAATTATCAATTGCCAAAATAAGCCCATTAGAAACTCAAATCAACATAAGAAGTATCCAAAACCCAAGTATCTCGTCATGTCCTGCATCCAGATCCTCTGCACCAGGCGTCATCATCATCTTTTCTCCTCTACCTAACAGCTGCTCAGCTGCGAGCTCAATGCAGCTGCTACACTCCACCACCACCAATAGCCTTTGAAGATGCAGATCCTTGCTTAGTGCCTTCAAGCAAACTGTAAGTCACCCCTAATCCTCTTCCCCCCTTCAAACCAGTTTTAGCCTAGCTTAATGAATTTTAAAGCCTTCTTCCTCTAATTAAAACAAATTTACTTGTACATACACTTGCATTAAGCAAATACTTAGCACTGGGAAATTCACCTCCACTCTAAAAGCAGACAGAAGTAAAACATTTCATCAGAAATCCAGTATGTTTGCAGTATTTACAAAGTATTTGTTGCACTTTATAAACTAAACAGTTTAAAAAAAAAAGTAAAAGAAAGAGACCTGTTGAAGGGAGGGAGGGGGGGAATAAAAAAAAATAACTAAAAAATCCACCTACATTTGGAAAAAAGTCTCTGTCATCTCTCACATTCAGTACATGGATGCTGCTTGAAATTGTAATCATGGTTGTGCAGATGCTTGTAGACCTTGATCCATTCCTTAGCTGTGTTAAAAGCCAAAAGCCACAATTTGTTATAATAGGTTAAAATCAGATTAAATATATTAATTTAAAATAGCAGACAGACATTTCTCCATGTTAAACAACTATTAACATAAAAGTTCAAACTTAACTCCTACATAGTTTTAAAGTGTTTTGTGCTTATTTAAGCAATATGAGGCTGAATTTAGCTGAGATGCACGGTATTTCAGAAGAAAGAGCAATTATTAATTATAAAGACACAATGTGAGCTTGGGGCCTCTGGCAGCAAAAGCAAGGTTAGCTCAGCTCTAAGGATGCTCAATGCACTCCTCTCGCCCAATGTCAAAACAGAACAAAAAAATACCATGATAACAATCAGTTCTCAAAGATTTCAAACCACAATTTAAAATGAGTTAGCAAAATACATACTTGTAGTAGAGTTATTCTGATGTGAATTATGGAGCATATGAAAAATATTGAAAGATCGTATACTTAGGAAACATCAATATACCCAAGCTTCAAACGATCGTTTTTAGTGGTGAGATACAATACACTTTACTGTCCATTTTCTTCTAAGCACATCTGCTGACAGTCTAAATTTGGTCTGGAGAAAGTACTGACTGGAGGTTGCAGGTTTTGCATAGAGGATTTCTGTTTAATGGGAAATGCAATCAAGACCACTAACCCTTTCTTGTAAAGATTTCAATGTAAAATCACTCAACTTTGTAGCAACTTCTGGACTCATTTTTTAAGTCTTAAGATTCAAAGACCAAAAATGATGACAAGCAGTGTGATTAGTCTTTCAGGTCTTTTACCTCTTTTTCCCTGATGCAGATGGTAAACTGTCACTACACAGCCCATACAAATATCAACAACTGTTTTAATTCAGACAAGTAAATAACAAATAATATCGCATAATTACATAAAAGAATCTCTCAGCATGACAAATTGATAGCTTTGTCCTAAAAAAGAAATTAAGAAGAAACTTCAGTATACTCTACTGAGGCATTTCAGCAGTTTGTACATTTTTTTCCACTAACCAGTTTGGCTTTCATGTAGGTTAAAAGTTCTAACAAGCATACTGTAGCAAATAATGTCAGCAATTACAGCTAAAACTTGACACTAAGTTAAACACAAGCTTAGTGCTAAGAATCGTAAAACTTATTTCAAAAACCATCCCCACAGCAAGCAGGAAGGCTCGCATACCTATTGTATCAGCTCCACAAGCATAATAAATTGGCAGACAACAGTTCTTTGTAATGTTAAACTCCCTTTAATGGAATGAAACATCTGAAAAATACTATCAAGTTGAAGACTTCTCAATTTCTATAATGTTTCTTCTCCACCTCAAAAATGTACGGAAATCAGCACGGTGTTAAACAGATATTTAGAAAAGCTTCCTTTGCTCACATTTATCACAAAAAAATGCAAACAATATTCAAAACAAATATAAAATATTTACAATTCTATAATACAACCAAGAGCTTAAAAAGTTATTAAGTATATAACCTACTAAATTTTTCAACAGGAAGCCAAAATTAAGTAAATTTTCTACATATGTTAACATAATAGTGAATGGTAAGTTATAATCTTCAAAATTCATTGCCCCCAGATGTGATGGAAATTACCAAAAAAGTATCCCAGAAAACCTAGTACCAGGTTGTTTTCTCACCACAATTGTAAGGGAGATATATTTATTTTTCTCTCCCACCCCCCCATTACTCATTCAAGAGACAACTTATAATTTGTCGAAAAAAACAGTTCTCCTTTCACTTAAGAAAACATTGTTCGTATAAGCACTCATAAATCTTTTCACTGTTGTAGTCATCTCTGTTTTGAAGAAATACTGTGAATTTGAGCTGTCTTTCTATGTGCTTTCCTTCCCAACCTCTTGGAGAAAAAGTTAGACTGGACTGCAACCTTGTTATTGGCTTCTGTCGCATACAATTAAGTGGAGACACTGTATGTCCTTGTGAAGCAAATAAGATACTAATTTTGCTTTTAGTTCCAAAAATAACCCTTTTAGTTACTTTTCCTGCACAAATTCTGCAATAACCTTCTACGAAAGTTCTACCTCCTGCCCTTTTAAACAGTAAAAACTCAGAACCACCCCACCTATCCCAAAGACAAAGAAGACTTCAAAATTAGACTGCATAACACATAATCTAGTCTAAACCCTTCAAAACCGAAACCGCCACACAGATGCAACGCCCAGCCTCGCTACAATCGCAGGAAGCCCTGTTATTCCATATTCCCCAATGCTCCTAACATTGCCTGTTTTCTTATCTGACCGCTGCCACAAACCCCAGAGCCATCATCTTATTTCACATAGATTAGCTGGTTTTGCACTGGCCTTACTAAGCAGTCAAGAACCAAATCAGTAGTTCAACCCAGACAGCAAGAATTTGGTCTATATTAGCAGTAGCAGCCATGGAAACCTTGCTGAAATCAATCATTGCAATCACCTGCAACACTGAGTGGTTAAACAGAAAAACGCCCAGACTACCTTTGTACACAAATCTTTCAAGATTTTTACCTACAGACTTGAAGGTAAGGACTAAATGGTTTATTGAGGGCAAAACACCTGCAGTTAGTAACAGAAATATTTTTACGTTTTTCCCTCCTTGCTTAAATAAAGTACAACTGGTACAAAAGCAACATTTGTAGTCAATGCAAAGGAGAACAGCACTAGAATACTGGAATTACGTCCTTTTGTGATTTAAGAGACACAGGTTATGTTACTCTGCCAAGGTCCTCCACTTATAAATGGAGATAATATTTAGCTATTAGCAGCGTCACAAAACTTAAGAGATAAAAAGCATTAACCTTGATAGAAGTACCTTTACAGTGATGTTAGAGTGCCATTAAAAAGCTAGTAATTTTGAAGTTATTGGAATATGATGGTCAACTACTCCTAGAAATATTCAGAATCCACAATATGAAATGAGACAGGATTTTGCAGAATGAAGGAACATCAACAAAAAGTGAACATTTACAACACCTTTTAGCATTTCTGCAATTCTTATATCTTCTTTGTTTAAACCAGTATGAAGATATTTTACTGTAACTTCTCACGACAGCATTTACAGCTTATGCTGAAACTCTCTAATAAATTTCGCATTGACCAAGTAAAGTTATGTGTACAGAGAAGTTTATAGCTGAGGCAATTGTATGAGAATAAAAAATAAAATTTGACTTACTGGTAAAAACACTTTGCGGACATTTAAACGGATCCTGATAACGGCAAGTTACGTGAAGATTTCTTATCTGCTCAGTTTCGAAAGATGATGAATATATTGTGCAATGAAAGAGAGGAGGTTTCCTTTGATGGCTGTTCCTGTGCACTTTCCAGGCACTTAGTGACATAAAAACACTTTCACAGATGAGGCACTGGTAGGTTTCCTTTATCTGCTTGTGTGATTTTAAATTATTTTTCTTAAGTCCCACTCAGTCATGCAACAATAAAGGCATTTAAAGCCACAATCCACATCAGGACCCTTTTCATGGATTTTATGAGCATCTTTCAACTTCAGTGCTATGTTGCATGTGTTGCAGAAACGCTGCATTCTCTCAGAACTCAGCTTTAAGGCACAAGCACCTTTCACAGGATGAGCTAACCCCTTACTGTCACATCTAGCTTTCTTCTGATTTCTGTAATTTTTACACCTTGGTTCAGCTTTAGGGGTTTTTATCTAAGCTAAGGTCCAAGTTCTAACACTGGCAACGCAACGGAGGCCAAGATGCACAGACCGGGCTTATTCATCTTCGCTCTTGGAATAGGAAAGAGAAGTCTGCACTATAGAACGGGACTTCTCCAGCTGCAATGAGCTGCTGCTTCTCCAAACAAGGTGTTAACGTCACAGGAGTGAGAGACACGAGGATTATTGCTCTGACTCCTTGGGCTCACGTCGCAACAGTGAGTACTCATATTTTGAAGCATCTGATACAGAGGTAATAAGACAGACTTTTTTTGCAATATTTTCTTTGTTTTCTTTCTTTTCTTGGTTAGCTTCATTTCCCATGCTATATGACTCATTTTCATCTTGGTCCACTTTAGGACAGCCTGAAATCTGACACGCTGTAACCGTTTCATGCACCTGAGCCAGGTGTGTCCTGATCTTACTTTTGATGCTGCCTGTGAACTGACAGAGCTTGTACCTGTATACCTCCACCAGAAACATTTCCACCAGTCCAGCAATCTGGGCTTCAGTACCCTCAAGCGCAGCAGCATACAACTGGAATGTTGCGATTTCCTCGGGGCGATGCACGTTCATTGATAGAACACATTGGTATTTGTGTTTAAATTCATTAATTTTCTGTAGGTACTGGGAGGAAAATCTACAGAAGACAATAAACAAAACAGTTAAGATCCACTTCATGATTTCAAATCAAAACTCTAGGCCACAATGAAATCTAGATTCAGATTCTGGTCCTAGGGATGTCTGCAGATTTTAAGACTATCTGAAAGAAGCGAGGGTTTTGCCAGGAGAAAAATGATGCCATAAACGATTACTCAAATCACTTGTTGAGATTAAAAATGAACTACAGGTCAGTAACGTTACGGCATTTTTGTGTTAAGTTTCTAACAGGTCCTGTTAAGAGACAGGCTGTTAAATCTGAAAGCAAAGAAGGCTGGTGAGAAATTTGCACGCTAACACACGGAGGCCTCCAGCCCAACACCCCTTCACAAGCGCACCCTTCATACAGCCCAGCGCCCCGTCGCTAAAGGCCCACCACCGTGAAACTCGGCGCAATCAGACGACGGAGCCTGGAAAAGTAAATTAAGCGGACCGACGCCTTACAAGATGCACCAGCTACCTCTGGAGAGCCCGTACCGAAACGCCTGGCAGCCCCCTCCCGGGCTGCGGCCCCTCCCGGGCGGCGGCCTCTCCCGCCGTCAGGCCCTCTCCGAACTCGACCGGCTGGAAGCGGCACCCTTGTCCCGGCGACGTTCCCTGCGGAGACGCCCGGGGCCGCGGCCGGGCCATCCCGGGTGGGGGGGGAGAGGAGGAGATGCCGCTGCGAATGCGGGTGCCGGAGCCGAGCACCCACCGAAGCCCTCCCGACCCCCGCTCCGCCT